TAAGCGACCTATAGTGGGACTGCGGTGGGCATTCTGACACTGGGGGGAACTAACTTGGTGTTACTGACATCCCCAGTGACACCAATACAGTGATCAGTGCTAATAAAAAAGCACTGACACTGTACTAATGGCACTGGGCAGGAAGGGGTTAACATCTGGGGCGATCAGAGGGTTAACTGTGTGCTGTTTCTCAGTATGCTGTGTGTGCGCTCACCACTGTAAGCACACTGCTTTGTATGGCTCTGCTGTGCAGAGCCATACAAAGCAGTTAGCAGGAGCTGACAGGGGAGTGATCTGTGTTTACAAATAGGTCTCTCCCCCCGTCGGAGATACTGAGCGATCACTGGGTGCCGGCGAGTAATCACCCGCCATGACCCAGTGATTGACAGCTGAGGCCGCGAATGGCAGTGCTGGTAGGACGCGCGCCCCCTACCCAGAAATGCAAAGTCACATATACACGTTTTTTTTTTTGTGCACTCGTGCCGCCCTGTAGCAGTATTCCTGCTATAGGGCGATGCGGAAACGGTTAAAGGTCAGCCGTCACTGCAGCCCTGCATCAATCTGGGCTTTTTGGCAGAGTGGCTAGACCAGGGTACCATGGAACTCCAGGGTTCCTCCAGAGGATTCTAGGTGTTCTTTAACCCCTTTACGCCAGCCGCACACAAATGTGCGGCCTCCCGACGTCTGGGCCTAGGCGCTGAGCGGGCCGCACATTTGCGTTCATGTAACAAAAAACATATGTGCTGAGAGCGTGCGCCCTGCGCGCTCCCAGCACACATGTGTGGTACTCACGGAAAGGTCCCGGTCCGCTCTTTCGATCGGGACCTTTCCCGATCATGTGACCGCCGTGACGATGCGTCACGGCGGTCACATGATCCCTAAACCCCGCCTCCCGGCGTCTGAAACTCCTCTTAAAGGGCCAGGAGGCGCCGGCGGGAAGGGGTTAAGCAATGAGCAATTTCCACTGACACCATTGATCCTTTTAGCTATCTATAAGGGGATCATTCCTCCCAATGACCACAAGTGTAAGGAGCATTCTTCCCACTGACATCACAATATATCATGAGTTGTAGTTCTAGTCATTTTTAGCAGGGGTTCCCTGAAATTGGAAAAGTTATTTCAAGGGTTCCTCTGTGTTTAAAAGTTTGACAAAGTCTTGCCTAGACAGAGGCCTCTCTTCAGTGCAAAAAACACATGAAAGCCCGCTTGGAGTTTGCAAAGCTTTTTTAAAACTTTTATAAACGTTAAAAAATGTAAAATATGTGTTCTGTGTATACATTCATGTGGTGAGGCCTAATATCTTGGCAGTGTGTGCTCTGTACCGGCTGAGCCACCTCCTGACCTGAGAATTCGTGAGAAATGATCCCGTCCTCTTTCATTTTGTGCTTTAACAGGTGATACATGATCTGAAGAACTCCGATTACAATTTCATTTACCAGACTCCACCCGCCTCTCCAAGTGGAACCTTATCACGAAAGGCCAGCACCAACAGGTATTCTGCGGAGGCTCACCTCTATGGGGAGGGTGCCTAGCCAGGGGGAGAATTGACTTTCCAGCTTCCAGTCTCTTCTTGAACGCAGAGATACTCACACCCACACTTTGTTCTATTATTTAATGCAAGATTTACTTTTTTTTCTGAAATGTGCAGCTTTACATTTTTATGCTCGATAAAAGGTGATGTTCATAGATCAGCATTAAAGGATAAGTTCACCTTTTGTAGCATGTTACATGTTGCATGTATATTTAGGGTTTAACATGTTACTTTGGAGTAACAGATCTTCCCCCCACTCCTCTATGGCAGCGGGTGTGAGATCTTCTCCCCGCACCCACTGTCACATTTTAAATTGGAACTATAGTCAGAAATTTAATTCCTTCTGGCTGGTGCCTTTTTGTAGGTACAGCTATGTAAAACATTAAAAATAAGTTTCTGTACTGTTACAAATCCAGTAATACACCGTCTCACCCTGCTCTGCAGATCTCTGTTTTTAGGCACTGTGCTGAAAATGTAGAGGCTGATTTGCTGACAGCCTTAAAATTTACTGCTGCTCAGGGGCTCTGGGCTTCAGCAAAATGGCCGCCTCCAGCAAGAAGAAACGGGACCAATTTACAGCGCACACAAATTTTGGTAGCATAATTATTAATGTGGAATGTATGTTCCATGCTAATGAACATTATTTTTTATCAGGTTATTATAGATAAAGTTCCTCTTTAAAAACAGTGGGGCTGTGCGGTGCTTCACCCTCAGTGCCATGTCATTCATTCACAGAATTCTGTGAGTGAATGAACTACAAGTCCTGTTTTTCCACCGTGGCAGACAGCTTGTAGTTTTCAGTGAACTACAAGGGCACTGGGTAAGCATCCTTGTAGTTAATTGTTTCTTCCAGCTTTTCAGTAACTGTCTGCCCATATGGGCTGTGCTGACTGTCTGCAGGGCATTGCACCCATGAGCCACTGATTGCGGGTGCAATGATTTGCAGTGCGTCCTCATTCTTTTTCACTTTTTTACCTGCAAAATATATGGATTTTTTTTTTTTTTATACAAAGGTTAGCCTTCAAAGTGTTTCTAAACGCACAACAGTAAAATCAATCTGTATATGCAGTAAAGCATGCTTGTTATACTTAATGTGGAACCTAAGGGAGTACTCCTCCCCATTGTGTAAAAAGGCTGTTTGATCCTGTCTTCTCTGATCCTCCTCTTCTACTGTCCCCAATCCATCTGCTGATAGTACAGAGTTCTAGGAGTCATTCTGCCCATGCTCAATTTAGTGTGTATGGCTAGAAAGTTTTTTTTTTTTTTTCTTTGGGAGGGTGCATGTGATCAGCACAGGGCCAATCTGCACTGTCCAGGCAGAGGGTCAGGGCTCATGCAGCCTTGTAGGACAGTCAGAGGAGAATGAAAACTCCTCCTACCAGCTTTAACTAGTGCTCTGCTGGACAGTGATAGTAATCACAAGACTGCTATATACTGCTGATGAGAAATGTTATTTAGCAGTTTATATTTACTAAAATAATTGCATTTCCATGTGTGTACTGTGGGAGAGCGGATATAGTGAAGGCAGGGTCCGGGGAGACCAGATATAGTGAATGCAGGGTCCGGGGAGAGCGGATATAGTGAATGCAGGGTCCTGGGAGACCAGATATAGTGAATGCGGGGTCTAGGGAGAGCGGATATAGTGAATGCAGGGACCGGGGAGACCGGATATAGTGAATGCGGGGTCCGGGGAGACCAGATATAGTGAATGCGGGGTCTGGGGAGAGCGGATATAGTGAATGTAGGGTCCGGGGAGAGCGGATATAGTGAATGCAGGGTCCTGGGAGACCGGATATAGTGAATGCAGGGTCCGGGGAGACCAGATATAGTGAATGCAGGGTCCTGGGAGACCGGATATAGTGAATGCGGGGTCCGGGGAGACCAGATATAGTGAATGCAGGGTCCTGGGAGACCGGATATAGTGAATGCAGGGTCCGGGGAGACCAGATATAGTGAATGCAGGGTCCTGGGAGACCGGATATAGTGAATGCGGGGTCTGGGGAGACCGGATATAGTGAATGCAGGGTCCTGGGAGAGCGGATATAGTGAATGCAGGGTCCGGGGAGACCGGATATAGTGAATGCGGGGTTCTGGGTTTTGTAACACTTTAAGTTATGAGTTAATTTATAATAACATACACACACATTAAATAATACAACACGTCATAACATGAGAACACCTAGATGTGTAAAAAAAAAAATATATATATATATTATTTAAAGGGCGTTTAGTAGTAATCTCCAGCAGTCCTATTTAAAGTGACCCTATCACGACAGGGCCAAAAGTGAATGCAGCACACGCTGTCTTCAGTCTGTCTCCTGCAGTGTGTCTCCAGTCTCTTACCACATGGGTCTTCAGTCTCTGACAGTCTCCTACAGTGTGTCCTCATTCTTGTCAGTCTTTTGTAACATTACATATACTGAATATTATTGGGGGGTGATGCCTGGAATCTCACTTGAGGCTCCTTATGTCTACTAACTTGGCCACCATTGATCTAAATGAATGGAGTAAATGATGGTGGACGTATTTTGAAATACACATCTGAAAATATTTCATAAGCAGGGTAAATTAAAGGACAAGGAAAGGGTCTCGCAAAGTTTCCTTACCCTTTTTCCCCCCCATCCCTTAGGTAGGTCAAGCTCAGCCTATCCCCACCCCAATCAAATCGCTATACTTCCATAGATCTCACTCTGAGCCATGCGTTATTGTTTATATCATCCTTCCAGCTTCTTGCTTCGACCTTTATGCCAGCATTGTTTGGCTCCATAGACTCCAGTAGGGCTGGTAGATGGATTGGAACCTATTGGTCTACAGGCCGCATAGAAGCCTATGGGGCCAAACTGTACAGGCACCAATGTTCTATCAAGAAGCTGGTGCAGGGTCAAAACCATGCAACAAGCCTTGAAGCTTGGATGTAAGCAAGTACAGAGATTTTGAAGGGGGGGAGGGGGCAGTGGTAGGCAGACAAAAGAGTAAAAACTTTTGTGGGAAAGTTTCCTTAACCTTTAGATACTATGTGAAGTCACATGCCACAACCAGACACCTTGGTAAAGTGTGGTCTTACTCATTATGAGAGTACCAGTACTGGGACATTTATCGAGAATAAACTGAGGTCTCCGCTTTCCTACCACAGTTCTCATTATGTTGACACCATGTAGTGTTGGATATCCCACATCCTTGGAATCTTTTGCATACACATTTGCCAGTGTTATAAATAGCACTTTATTAGTAAGTGAACTGTTTTCAGTTTTTTGTTTCTTTAAATGGTAAGCACCTGCATGGAATGTCTCCATAACTCAGCCAACAAGTCCTTCCCATGAAGGATTCCAGGAGCTTCTCAGATGACAGCGTTGAATAGATGTTACTTGTTCCAGACTTGTTGGTAGTTGTCCCTTGCTCGCTCAGTGTTGTCGAAGGGGAAATAATAGGCTGATAGGCTCAGTTGTGTGGGACCAAAAAGAGTGTATTTGTCCGTCACTACTACGACTTGCTGCAACTTAGAAGTTAAAAGTATTGTGTTGACTGTTGATCAAATCCACCTTTTTGCTTTATTAACCACTTCAATACTTCACCCCCTTCCTGCCCAGGCCAATTTTCAGCTTTCACAGCTGTCGCACTTTGACAATTGCTTAGTCAAAGTAAATTTTTATAATTTTTGGGGGGACAAAGAGAGCATTCTTTTGGTGCTATTTAATAAACACTAGGGTTTTTTTTTTTGCTAAACAAACAAAATCAGACCGACAGTTGTGAAAAAAGAAACCCTTTTCTTTGTTTCTGTTATAAATAGTTTTTCTTTTACACTGATGTGCGCAGATGAGGCTGCACTGATGGGCAATATTAGGCTGCACCGATGTGCGCAGATGAGGCTGCACCGATGGG